CTGTATTTGTATATAGTAAACTTTGTATGTAGTAAACTGTATTCTGTATAGTAAATTTTAAATATAGTAAACTTTGTGTGTGAAACCTTTGTATATATTAAATTTTATATGTAGTAAACTTTACATATAACAGTCTTTGTATATAGTGAACTTTATGTACTGTGTAGTAAATTTTGTATATAGTAAACTTTATAAATAGTAAACTTTGTATATACTAGTAAATTTATGTATAGTAAATTTTGTACATAGTAATCTTTATATTTGCAAACTTTGTATTCTGTATAGTAAATTTTATATATAGTAAACTTTGTATGTAGAAAACTTTGTATATAGTACTTTTATATGTAGTAAACTTTACATAAAATAGTCTTTGTATATAGTGAACTTTATATACTGTATAGTCAATTTTGTATATAGTAAATAACTAGTAAACTTTGTATATACTAGTATGTATAGTAAATTTTGTACATAGTAAACGTTATATATAGTAAACTTTGTCAGTAGTAAACTTTATATATAGTAATCTTTGTATATATTATACTTTATACAGTATATACTAAATTTTGTATATAGTAGATTTTATGTATAGTAAACTTTGTATTTAGTAAACTTTATGGATAGCAATCTTTGTACATAGTAAACTTTGTCTATAGTAAACTCTATGAAGAAAACTTTGTATATAGTAAATTTTGTATATAGTAAACTTTACATATAGTAAACTTTGTCGGTAGCAAACTTTACATATCTATGATGATATCCATGATGAACTACGAACACATGAAACTGATCTTTGTATATAGTAAACTGTATATAGTAAATTTTATATATAGTAAATTTTATATATAGTAAACTTTGTCACTAGTGAACTTTACATATAGTAATCTTTGCATATAGTAAACTACATATAGTAAACTTTGTATGTTGTAATCTTTGGATATAGTAAACTTTATAATATATATTAAACTTTGTCGTTAGTAAACTTTACATATAGTAATCTTTGTATATAGTAAACTATATATAGTAAATTTTGTATATAGTAAACTATATATAGTACATTTTGTATATAGTAAACTTTGTATATAGAAAACTTTGTATGTTGTAAACTTTGTATCTAGTTCAGTACACAAGTTAAAATTTTCTGGAGATTTTTTGTTGTCAACCACTAAGAGGTTTTCCACTGGACAACCTGGAACATTTCCTTATGTGAACTTCTGGTCAGAACATTGATTGGTTCTGGAGGATTCCCGACCAGCGGATAACCTGGTGACATGTGAAGGTGTCAAGACTTGGGTCTTTCTAGACTGAATCGGGCCATGGGTCAACACTGACCCAAACTCTTTCTATGTAATATTTGATCAGAATCAAAACAGAAACCCAAAGAACCAAGTTCAAATCCATCTCCTGTTGAAAGCATCGTGAAGAGCAGAACCAGACAACAACCATCACAGACTGTCAAGCTGCTGAAGTATGGGTTTTGGGCAGAACGACCCAGATTCTTCAGAAAAACTGTAGATTATTTAACCCTTTTCTGTCTGTTGGGTCCGTGTGTGGATGGGGGAGGTTCTGATCTGTTATGTGTTCCTGCAGAGATCATCCAGAAGCTCGTCCAGCTCGTGATAATGTTTGGAGACGATATCAATGCGAAGGTGTGTTCCGATTCCCAGATCCAGAACAGAAGAACGGGTCGTAAGAACTCACAGTTTATCACCTCCTCTGTTCCCCCCCAGCTCAAACAGAACCCAGTTCTAAAAGAACAACTCCAGAACCTGAACTACAAGACGTTCGAGAAGCTGACCTCCACTGTGCAGAACCTGGTGGCCCCGGCGGGTCAGGCAACAGGTCCAGACTGTCAGGTCGAGCAGCAGAAGATCGCCTGGGCCTTCGAGGTGACGAGCAGACTGTCTGCTGTGGGGGTTGTCCACCACAGGAGGGTTTTGAACTTCGGGGCCCAGTACATCGAACAGAACCACGCGGACTGGGTCTGGCAGCGTGGAGGCTGGGTGAGCTAACCGTGATCAAAAGGGTGGTTCTGTTGGTTTAAAATGGGATCCTGTGGTTCTGCTCTGTCAGCATAATCAGGGAAAGGTTCTGATGGAGTCCAGCTAACAGTTTATCAGAAGAAGTCCATTCAGGAGATGATTTTCATCATTTAAAAGAGCTCAAACTCAGAACTTTCTGTTCATCTGAACACAGGTTGTTGATCAGGTTCCTGCTAGGGTTCCTCGTGGAGGTCTTATTCAGGTTTCTCCTCAGGTTCCTTTTCAGGTTCTTCCTTAGGTTCCTCCTCACCTCTTTTCTCCAGAACTCCATATTTAAATAAATGTTAAAAGGTTTGATCAGAACTTCAGTTTTGCTTTAGAACCTGGTTTTTGGTTTGGGATCCCTGTTGTGTGTCCGTTTGGTTTTGATGGCAGAAAATCCTCTTTAGGACATTTCCTTTGTCCATATTGTGATCGTCTTTATGGATTTCTTCTGTTTGTGTTCTGATTTGTTCTGAAAGGATCCTGTTTTCTTCTGTCAGGAGGAAGCGTTCGACATCGACTGAGCTGCAGACCCATCAGATGAAGGCTACCAAACTGAACTATTCCAACGTCCATCCTTCATCTTTTACCAGCTTATTCCTTTTCGGGTCGTGGGGGTCACTGGTGCCCATATCCAGCAATCACTGTGTCAGAGGTGGGGGACACTCTGGACAGGTCTCCAGTCCATCACAGGGACACATGGAGACAAACGAGACAAACAACCATTCACTCTCACTCGTTCCATCATATTTACTGTAAAACCTGTTAACAGTTTTAAACGGTCTTGTTGGGGACTGCCTAGAAATGCAGCCAGCTTTTATGATCCGCTTGAAAAGGGTCTTGCTTTTCCATCAATTTTAATGCAGCCCAAACTGCAATGTGCACCCCCACAATTGTTATATCAAAATGACTGGCTCGTAACCACGATATGTACTATTACTTTTCTTGGCATTTCAAGTTACCACTTTATGTTACTGCTCTGATTACCAGTAGAAAGTGCCTTTTAGATAAAGTTGAGCTTTTTATTAAATAAAACCAAGAACTGCAGCTGAGATGACTTCCTGTGATTTAACCCTTGCAGAACTTCGTCTTCATATTTTACCATGACTGTCACAAAGCAGAGGTTCTGGCTCCAGTGAACCAGAGATCTGAGCGGGAGTAGATTGATAATCGGGTTGTTTCACATCAACAGGAGCAGGTTGGTGGTCCAAATGTCCAGAACCCAAAAGATTTGAAAGCTGAATTTGACCTTGGTTTCAGGTGTTGGTCTAGTAATCAGCACATGTCAGTTTCTTCATATTTTACCAACAAAACCAATTTGAAAAATGTACCAGTGCTGTTTCGTGATTGGTCCAACAGTCTGAAAGAGGTTCTAGTCCAAACCCTCCTGTTGGACCCATGAGTCAGAGCAGTTTCTGTTTTTCAGACAGTGAAGGAACCGGCTCTCTGGATTCAGTTCTTCTTTTATTCTCTTCTCTCCTTCACTTCCTGTTTTTTTATGTAGAACCTGCTAGTTTCAGTCCAGGTGATCTCACCTGGAACTTCCCTTCTTTTGTTCCTTTGCTTGCTTGTTTCCGGTGTTTGTTATTTAGACCCATTTGTGTTTTTCTCTTTGGAGTTTTAAACATTGCAAGTAGAGATGTGACGTTCGCTCAGCTCAGGAGGGGAGGGAACATTTCCTGCTTGACAGAAAACGGGGAACAGCCCTGACGACGTACGTGATGACGTCACCGTCGTTTAAAATTGAACGAGGCAAATACCTGACTCGACCTGTTGATTAGGAAATCAAAGTACAAACCCCACAAAAGTCCAACATAAGGAATGTTAATTTTTTTGTTAAAACACATTTTTCACTCAAATATTGATATTTGCATTTATTATTTGTTTAACCTGATGGAAGTTGCAGTCGACAGCGGAGGATCGTTCAGTTTGGGTTTATTTTGTGCCACTTCACGACAGAAAAGCTTCACGTGAACAAACAGAACAAGTTTCCATCTCACAGTGAAAGGACAGACCTACCAGCTTGCTCCATAGTTCTGGTCCTAAACATTTCAGTAGAGAGCCAGTGGTTCCACTTAATTAAAAAAATAAAATAAAAATCAGACAGCCAAACTTTTATTTTGAAGGAAAGTGTAGTCCAATTAGTCCTGTTACAGGCAAGGGTTTGTCATGTGACAAGCTCTCAGCCAATCAGGTGAGTTTAAAAAGTTTTTTTTCTTTCTTTTATTTACTGACTGAACTATCATTGTTTTAATGATTATTTTTTATTTTGAAAACTAACTTGTCAACAATTGTGTCAATATTCATTTTTAATAACATTTTAGTTAAAGATTAAAATAAATATTTTGCTTTATATAATTTTTATCAACCTTCTAATTGCTTCTAATTTATATCAGAAGAAAACCTGCAGACGCCTCCTCAGTCAGTGTCACCTGACAGGAAACCCAGGTGAGCAGGTAAGGCGATATGAACACAGAACATTAAAGGTGTATTCCGAGCTTTTTGTAGTACAGATTAGTGCAAAAGTTATAATTTGCAAATATCTTACTTAACCTCCACTTTGTCTTTGCTGCATTCAGATTAGTCATTAGCTCATCAGAACGGAGGCCACTCAATGAGCTATCTACATCAGGTAAGATATTAATAGTTCATAACCTGCAGAACCCCACTCTGAAATGGTCGGAATATTCCTTTAAAGTTGCATTACAGGAAACAAACCATCTGCCTGGAACTGATGGATCAATAGGTGATTGATCTATAAATAAACTATCGGACATCTTCACTCATACCAGACAACAAACAAACAGGAAGTCAGCTGATGTGCTGCCGGTATTTGAACCAATCAGCGTACAGGTGGTGTGGTCGTCGGCCTCAGATGCCCATGTAGGTGTTCATCTTCCCCAGAGCGTCGCAGACGGTGGTGAGGTCGCTGCGCAGGTCCTGCACCACGTTCTCGAGGCTGCGCGTGTCTTTGAGCAGGTCCACGCTCTGCGTGTATGGGTTGTAGTAAACCGAGAACGGACGCTTGATCGTCTTCGCAAACTCCCTGTCAGAGAAAACAGACAGGAAGTGACAAACATCTGTCAGGGACTCACGTTACTGACTCCAAACCAAAAGAGACATGTTTCCAGATCAGGACTAGATGAATCATCAGTTGGACTTATTTATTTACTATTTACACATTTACTAAATAAATAAGTGGAGGCATAAGGCTGGAAGGCCTTATGTTCCTAAATAAACTACTTTTGACTTTGATTTTGACAATTTCAAAACCTTCTCGCAACATGTAAACCTGGGAACTGGGTCAAAACTATGAGCGTTTTAGGAATCTAGTCCTTGAAATGTCAGATTCTAAACCTGGGAACTCTGTTTGGACCTGAGACAACCTAGACCTGGAAATTTGCGACAATGTGAATCTTGGGACTCTTTCTAATTCTGGACTTGAGAACTACATCATCAACTATCATGTTGCTGCTGATCTGTTTCATGTTGCTGCTGATCTGTTTCAATGTTGATGTGTTCATGCGTGCACATCTGCTCACAGACTCATGTTCATGTTTGTGGTGATGTTCAATGTTTTATGTTATGAGTGCTTAGTGTATATTTAGTTGATGTTTTTCTTAGTTCATATCTTAGATGTTATTACTGTTTTTCTTATACATTTTATTGTTGGATGTAACTGGGACCCTGCGTACATAATTTCGCTCCACCACATGTACCACATGAGGTGCGAATGACAATAAAGAAACTCTGACTCTCACTCTCTCTGACTCTCTACATGTGAATCTAAAACTGGGAACTTTGTCAAAACCTGGACCTGAGAGCTTTGGAGAAATCTAGACCTTGAAATGTCACATTAAAGACCTGGGAACATTTTGTGAATCTAGACCTGGAAAGTTATGACGATGTGGACCTTGAACCTCTGTCAGAGTCTGGAACAGGGAACCTTATCAGAATCTAGACCTGGGAACTCTATGAGAATGTAGAACTAGGACCCTGTGAGAATCTAGAACTGGGAACTCTGACAATCTAAATCTCTGAACACAGTCAGAATCTAGACTTGACAAAACTATGGGAATCTAAAGCTGAGAGCTTTATTGGAATCTGGACCTTGAAATATCAGATTCTGAACCCTGGAACTATGTGAGAATCTGGCGCTGGGAACTCTGGAAAGTTAAAACACAGATCTAGTGAACGTTCTGTCTGTTTGGTTTCTCCTCAGACGTTCAGTCATCAAGTGGAAACTGATTTGGATTTATTTTTATTTTTTACGGCTTGCTGTCTTCCTCGAAACGTGTGTTCAACGTGTGCACAAGTGCGTGCACGGACACTCAGAGGGTTCACCTCATCTTCTCCTTTGCCTCCTCAAAACTCTCCGAGACGAAGTAAACGTCCTGGAAGGTGGTGATGAGACACTCCTGGAAGCAGGTCGTCTTCGGGTCAAACGTCTTCACGCAGGCTTTATCTGTCAGCGCATGCTGGGAAAAAACATCAGCAATCAGGTGATCGATCATTTGGTTATCTGAGCGTGCACGTGTGTGTGTGTCACCCTCAGCTCTCCGATCGAGGACAGTAAGCCGGCTCCATACGCTCTCAGCTGACCATCCTGTTTGCAGAGTCCAAACTCGATGGTGAAGAAATAACACTGAAACACAAAAACATGGCGCTTTTCATCCACCCTCAGGTCACATGACGATGACCGAGCTCTCTAAGAACTCTGTCTGGACCTGAAGCTATACGGACCAAACAGAACCACACAAGATTAGGTGGTTCTGGACAGATTAGGTACAGGAGGAAGGAAAAAGATTTACCGTAATTTCCAGACTATTAAGTGCACCCGAATATAAGCCACGCCCACTAATTTTAAAAAGAAAAAGAAAAAATTACATATTTTCTAAATTAGCCGCAGCATTTTATAAACCGCAGCATTCAAAGCGTGTAAAAAAAAAAAAGTAGCGAGTTATATTCCAGAAATTACGTTAATCTGTTTCCAACCAGTCAGAGCTTCAGTGACATCATCTGCAAGTCTGAATACATCCCAGTCTGATCGGGTCAGAACGGAGGCATAGTTCTGTGCGTGAACATGGATGTGCTCGGTGTTTAATAAAGTCCAACTTACCGTGGCCAGTTTCTGGACGTCCTCGTCCGACGCTCCCAGTGAGGCCAGTCCGATCTCCTGGGAGAACTGAGCAAACTTCGGATCGGCCAGCAGCGGAACGTGACCCAGCAGCTCATGACACGTGTCTCTGAGGACAGAGATGAGCACCTCGTTATCGTCTATCCCCTCAGGCAAGACACTGGACCGGACCAAGATTGTTGCAGAAACCCACAACATCCAGACAGATACTGGACCCTTTGGAGCTCAGGTGTGTCGTGTTCTGGAAGGATTCTTGGTCCTGGGTGTGTGGACATGCGGGGAGAGGACATGTCCTGTCAGAGACCACTGGACAGCCAGGTTTTCTGATGGAACATGCATGGATCGGCTTTGACCCGGTGTCGGTCTGCCGGATCTTGAGGACCAGTGGCTCGTCGTGCTGCAGGAAACAATGTCCAACTCCATTTCGCACAAAATCACTGCTTGTCTCCAGGACTGAGGGGGGTGGGCTTTACCCCCCTGACATGAGACCAGCGCGGTGCCTGGACCACCCATCCATCTGACCCGACTCTGTTGACTCCGTTGAACTTTTTTTGTCGGAGCGTGAATATAAAACCTTACACTGCAGGTCTAAGGGACAAGACCTGATCTGTCCTGCTCAACTGGGACAAACGAGGCGGTCTGAGGAACCTTAAGGTATCGTCAAGTCAACCTTTAATGTAAATATATAAATAAACCCTTTAAACCTGAAGCACGCTGTCCTTAAAGTTCTGTCGTGTGAAATTCTGGGGCCTCAGTTTCCTTCAGAACCCGAACAGTGAACAACATAAACCGAGCTAAGGCTAGCATTGTTATTGTTTGTGTTTATCCATGTTTGTTTGTTCAGGTTTTCCTTAAAGTTGGACTTAAGAGTTCCCTAATATGAAATTAGTAGGAAACAAAACAAACCCTAACCCTCCTGCTGCCCTTTGGTCAAAATGACCCATAAGCCTGAGGCCTTGTGGATCATTTTGACCCAAGGGCAGCAGGAGGGTTGAGGACAACCGAGGCAAGGAAAACACTAAACTCCTCCATCTGTGGGTTACTGAGCGTGTTGGACTTTACATCCAGGGAAGATGGACTGATGGTAACAGAACCGGCCGGTGGGTTGGATCACTCACGGTTCTGGCGTGTAGAGCGGGTCGGTGCTGTGGCGGACATACTGTGTGCAGTTAAACACCCTGTAGGCCAAACCAGCCAGGAAGTCTCGGGGAGACAGATACCCAGCAACAGGTCGCACGGTGAAACCAGAGCGCTCTGAAACACACAGGAAGTGATGTCATCGTATAAGCTGTTGCTATGGTAATAACTATTGCTGGCTTTTTTTGTTGTTGATATCCTTAATAAGTTACAATTTGAACATTTGAGCATGTTACATATCTTAATGTGTGCGGGGACAAGCCTTTCTGTACAGGAAGTTGACGTCATCAGGAAGCAGGAAGTGGACAGGTGACCCACCTCTGAGGAACAGGGAGACGTCCTCCAGCTGGGGGATGTTGTCTTCTCTGTAGCCGCAGTGTTTGGAGAGCAGCGGCAGGTTCTTCAGGTGTTCTTTGCAGGCGTGTGTCGGGTAGAGCTTGGACAGCTCCCGGAACACGACGCCCCACGTCCTCACCTCCTCGGGGGTGTACTCAATCCGAGGAATGGGCTTCCCACTGCCGGGGAGGAACAGGTGCAAAACTCAGAAAAACTCCTGATCTAGACCTCATTTCTTTGTATTTTGCTTCAAGCCGACAGAAAATAATTAAAATCTTTCAGAAAGTCTGAAGAACTGCTGATCAGAACCACATCTAAAGAGTACAGGAATGTCTGGATCTGAGTACAAATGTAAATGAATGAGGACGGGATTTAAATTTTAGGACAGATTTATAAGTAAAGTTATAAAAAAAAGAGACGCTTACAATTTATAATTCATGGCGACCTCCACAAAATACTTTCTGCGCTCACGATAAACATTGTCTTTAAAACCCTGAGAGGAGAGAAGAAGAAAACACAAAACTGAGACAGAACTTACACGATGCCTTCCTGCCTTCCTTCCTTCCCTCCCTCCTTCCTTTCCTCCCTCCCTTCCTAGCTGATTTGTTTGATCTTTAGATTTCTCAGTATCTCGCATGAAAAAGTCCAAATGTCAATAAAAGCCAGCCATCCATCCATCCATCATCTTTACCCGCTTCTTCCTTTTCAGGTTGTGGGGGTCACTGGTGTCCATACTCAGCAGTCTCTGTGCGAGAGGTGGGGGACACCTGGGCAGGTCTCCAGTCCATCACAGGGACGCATAGAGACAAACAACCATTCACTCTCTCACTCACACCTAGAGTTACCAATCAGTCTAACAGGCATGTTTCTGGTCTGTGGGAGTAAACTGGAGTATCTGGAGAAAACTCATGCATGCACAGAGAGGACATGCAAACTCCACCCAGAAAGGCACCTGGCCGGGATTTGATCTGGCAACCTTCTCGCTGAGAGGCAACAGCTCTACTGAACCACTGTGTCGTCCTTCAATAAAATATGATTAGTATTATTTTTTTCCCTCTCATTGTTTCCTTCTCTTCACGAATAACATCTCTGTGCTGAGGACATGTGGACATGAGGACATGTAGACTAGACAAGAGGGCATGTGGACATGAGTGCATGCGGGCATGTGGGCATGCAAACATTGGGGCATTTTGACATGTGGACATGAGGACAGTGAAGTGTCCTAGTCAGTGTCTGTCCTGTAAACTCACAGGGTGATCAGCGTCCAGCTCCGACCCGTACATCAGAACTCTGTGAGAACACTGATCCAACTCTGAGATCTTCATGGGAAACCAGGGAACATCCTCATCATCTGAGAGAAACAAACAGTTTACTCATTTACTTCCTGTTTTAGGGCAGGTTGATGCATCAGCTGATCAGTTTGATCCAGTAGCTGATCAGTTTAATTGTTTAGATTTTTTATTTTAATGAATGTTAGAACATGAAACATATATGCACATTTTTTTGATCCTGCAGGTAAGATTTTTTTTTCCTGACTTATGTTCACATGTCTGTATCTGTGTTTACACCTGTCGGTACCTGTACTTACACCTATTTATACATGTGTTTACACCTGTCGGTACTTGTGTTTACACCTGTCGGTACCTGTGCTTACATCTGTCGGTACTTGTGTTTACACCTGTCGGTACCTGTGTTTACAACTATCTGTACTGTTGGTACCTGTGTTTACACCTGTCGGTACTTGTGTTTACACCTGTCGGTACTTGTGTTTACACCTGTCGGTACCTGTGTTTACACCTGTCGGTACCTGTGCTTACACCTGTCGGTACTTGTGTTTACACCTGTCGGTACCTGTGCTTACATCTGTCTGTACTTGTGTTTACACCTGTCGGTACCTGTGTTTACAACTATCTGTACTGTTGGTACCTGTGTTTACACCTGTCGGTACCTGTGTTTACACCTGTCGGTACCTGTGTTTACACCTGTCAGTACCTGTGCTTACATCTGTCGGTACCTGTGCTTACATCTGTCGGTACTTGTGTTTACACCTGTCGGTACCTGTGTTTACACCTGTCGGTACCTGTGTTTACACCTGTCTGTACCTGTGTTTACACCTGTCTGTACTGTTGGTAACTGTGTTTACACCTGTTGGTACCTGTGTTTACACCTGTCGGTACATGTGTTTACACCTGTCTGTACTGTTGGTAACTGTGTTTACACCTGTCGGTACCTGTGTTTACACCTGTCGGTACCTGTGTTTACACCTGTCTGTACTGTTGGTAACTGTGTTTACACCTGTCGGTACCTGTCGGGGGAGTGGTGGCGCAGAGGTTAGAGAGGTGGGCTTGTGATCCGAAGATCGCCGGTTCACGCCCCGGCCCCGACAACATCAAAATTGTGGGTGGGGTAGGTGAAACACCCACACTTGCCCCCACCCTCATTCGCCCCACTCTGGGCCCATGAGCAAGGCCCTTAACCCCCACCATGTGCTCCCTAAACAGGTCTCTCTTGAAAATGAGTTCTCGTGGCTCAATGAGACTAACCTGTATAAAATAAAGGCTACCTGTGTTTACACCTGTCGGTACCTGTGTTTACACCTGTTGGTACTGTCGGTACTTGTGTTTACACCTGTCGGTACCTGTGTTTACACCTGTCGGTACTGTTGGTACCTGTGCTTACACCTGTCGGTACCTGTGTTTACACCTGTCGGTACATGTGTTTACACCTGTCGGTACTTGTGTTTACACCTGTCGGTACTTGTGTTTACACCTGTCAGTACCTGTGCTTACATCTGTCGGTACTTGTGTTTACACCTGTCGGTACCTGTGTTTACACCTGTCTGTACTGTTGGTACCTGTGTTTACACCTGTCGGTACTGTCGGTACTTGTGTTTACACCTGTCAGTACCTGTGTTTATACCTGTCGGTTCTGTTGGTACCTGTGTTTACACCTGTCGGTACCTGTGTTTACACCTGTCTGTACTGTCGGTACCTGTGTTTACACCTGTCGGTACTTGTGTTTACACCTGTCGGTACCTGTGTTTACACCTGTCAGTACTGTTGGTACCTGTGTTTACACCTGTCAGTACCTGTGTTCACACCTGCCGGTACCTGTGTTTCTCCATGTTCATACCTGCCTCAGCAGACCACACGTTTGCAGGCGTGTTGAAGGAAATGATGTTGACCTGGTCTTTGAGATGCTGCATCAGCTCGTTGAACTCCTTCTTGCTACAGCTGCAGCTGGCAAAAATTTCCACTTCATTAGGAACTCGTTTGGACATCCGGGACTCGATGTGGTTCAGGTTGACCCGTTTCTCCTGCAGGAGGAGTAGTGAGAACAGAAAACATTAAAGAATTTCAGTGGGGAAGAGGGTAAAGAAAAACTTTGTATCAGGCTCTGGGTCTGAGGTCTTTAATTTGAGTTTGGACGCATGTGGTTCTGGGTCTGATTAATATGTTGGACCTGGGTCTAAGTGGAGTTCTGATCTTAGTGTGGTTCTGTTTCCGACCTGAAAGAGTCTGAGAGCCTTCACCAGACATCCAACTTCGTTCTTCAGGGAAAACACCACTGCGGTTTTCCCAGGATCCTCTGCATTCTCACAGTCCGGTCTCTCGTCGATGGGACAGAACGACGTTCGTCTCGACTGTAGACGACGACAAGCAGATTGGATCAGAACCGACCGTCAAACATTTAAACAAGTCAACATGAATAAACGACAGAAACGTGAATATGTTAGGACTCAGAACCTGTGGGTGGTTTTATCCTGTTTTTCTAACACAGGCTAAATAAAACCTGTGAGCCTTCGCAGGTGCCAGTCACTTCGTCCCTGAGCTGGATCATATCCTTAGTGTCATTTTGTACATGTTGGGTACAAAATGGCTACCGCATTGCATCTATGCCCTAACCATATGATCGTATCTATGCCACCCTTACAATGTGGACAGAAGTGGGTACAAAGTGACCTGGGACAGATGGCCCAGAGGCCTAGGTACGAAGTGATTAAAGCTGCAAACGTACAATTCCATTAGACGAGGGTACAAATTGACCTTGTGCCACTATTCATGCGACTGTCACAGTAATCTGATTAATTCTCCAAGTTATATTTTGATTATTTTTCCAATTATAGTCTGATTATTTCTCCCAGTAATCAGGGTACTTTTCAGGGTTCCTATTTTAGGAAAAGTAGTTGGTCATCTAGTAACATTTCCAAACAGTAGTCTGATTAATTCTCTCAGTAATCGGGTTATTTTCCACTAATGTAGTCTGATTACTTCTCGCAGAAATCTGGTTACTCTCTTCAAAAGTTATTTGGGTACTCTTCCTGAAAGTAATTTGATTATATCACCTCGTAATCTAGGTTTTGCTTCACACAAGTACTCTGATTATATTAGGGAAAAGTAACTGGTAATTGGTATAATTTTCCTGAAACTAATCAGATTACTTATTCTGATTACTTGTCCCAGTAGTAAGTAGCAGCATCGACCTGTTCTTCCTCTCATTCAAACTGTTTGTTTGAATTGTTCTGCTTCTTCTTTCGCTGCAGAATGAATCTATTCCTTTTTATACAAGTTTAAAAATTGTAACTTCTAACAAACTGTTTTTACTTTAATTGATCAGAACCGTTCTGCATTTTGTTCCGTTGCATGTCAGAGAACAAACAGGTTCTGTTGCTGTCTAACACAGAACCACTAACAAAAAAAGCCGAAGAGCAACTCTGATATGATATTATGAAGAAGTTAAACTTTAAAAAGCTAAAATGCAGAAAAAAACTGCTGTGTTTAAAACAAACAAACAAACACATGACAGAACGAGGAACCAAAGCAACAACAGTCTGGTACCAAAAGACAAAAGAACCGGGCTGAAAATAAACTGCACTGATGACAGGTGAACAGCAGCGGCAAACAAAGGCCAGTTGTGACAGAGGACAAGTTCTCCAGAACCAGACAGGAAGTGAACTAGAACCTAAACAGAACCTGAACACAAAACCCAACAGAACATGTTGCCTCACTTCAGGTTTTATGACAGAAGAGCCCCAGTTAGATGGATGATGACGACAACGAAGATTGTGTTCTACCAGAACCTGGACATTTACAGGAACATGGGAAACAACAGGAGTCCCAGATGGGACCTGTTTCTGACCGATCGGACCTGCAGCATCACCAGAACCAGATGCAGCTTCTGATGAGAACCTGATCATCAACAGTTGAAGAACGAGCAGTTTCCTGCATCAGCTGATGAATGAGAACCAAACTGTCGGGTTTTCTTCTTCTGTGGTAACAGAAAACATCTACCAGGTGTATGAAGGAGTCCAGGGTCCACTCTGAACCTTGCAGTCAGAGCTGAGGGATTAATGAAGACATCCTTCTGATTTAACAGTCGGGTAAAGGACTATTTCATTGTCTGTAGCACTTTGGATCCATTCTGGTTCCAAGTCTGAAACAGTCAGACCTGGTCTACACATGGACTGATTACACATTTATAAAAACATAGTTTATATATATATATATATATAAAGCCTTGATTTAATCCTACCATGAAACCAGACTCTTTAAACAGTTTGCAAACCAAGAAACCTTTTTTTCTATTTGTGAAAATACAAACAACAGCAGCAAATAAATAAAAAACAGAGCAATTCTTGTCTCTTTTTCTCACCTGGACCACATTAGAACTGTTTTCTTTTAAACACATTTACTCTGCAAACCTTTTATTAGGTTTACAAACAGGAGAATGCAGACCAGGTTTACAGTCAGATCAGAGGCTCACTCTGAACTGCAAGGCAAACACGTCCTGAAGAGCTGAACTCTGGGACAAATTTCAGTCCTGCTCCCAAATCTGTTAGAAAATGCTTCAGCTAATCCAGTTCCGATCACTCGAAAAGGAAACGAATAAACCACGGATCAATAACTCCTATTGATCAGTATTTATCAGGATTACGGCTCCTGTTTGTTTCAAACATTGTGTGTGTGTGTGTGTGTGTGTGGGGGGGGGGGGGGGGGGGGCTCGGTGTAGAGTTTTTTTTTTTATGAGTGAAGATCTCGGTGGTAGCCGTA